TACTGCTACTGCTACTGCTACCACTTCTACTTCCTACCCCACCTCCTACTTCTAATTCTTCGACATCCACTTCTAGCACCACAAGCACCACAACGGCGACGATGACGACGATGGCAGCTTACCAAGAGCAGCAACAGTACCAACACTGCCAGCTTGCAGCAGAAACATGAAGACCATGATGTCAGCGTGTACGACATCTCCACGACGCAGGCATTGAGAAATCGACTATGACATGGGAGAAGAGCTGGAACCGTTGCACAGATTGGAAGCTGAGCCCGTGCTCCGAAACGAGGTGAACGTTTAAGACAGGCACAAACTAGAGCTGGTCGCATTGAAACTCGTTTGCACACTTGTTGTGTTTCTAGGGCAGCGCGCACTTGTCGCCATTCTGCTTGTTCCAAGTCTTTCATATTCTTTGAAAAAAAAGTACCCCTGCTGACGCGACATGGTGGATCACACTGAGCGGACCACTCGAAGAATGCCTTGTGCGATGCCAATGAGTACGGGAAGACTGTCTGTCCATCGCGTGTCTGGCCAGTGTGCATCACGCAATTCTGGCACAGCTTACATCACATCACGCTTCCGGCGCTGTAGCAATCATTCAATGCGAGTCCTGCCTTGCGCTGAAGCCAGTTGTATCCTGGAGGAACGACCTTTCATGCTCTTGCAAGCACGGAAACGAAAATGAGTAAGGAAATGCAGTGAATCCCTGCCTCATCTTCTCCCCACTCTTCGCTTAGCGAAGCCCTGTGTGTGCCTCCACCGCCTCTGACATACGCGAAACAGCACACAAGGCAAACTGAGATGCAGGAGAGTGCAGAGCGCACGATGCCTGTAGCATGGTGGTCAGATGTCACCCCCAAACCGGAATTAAGGAGGGTCTTCCGCCGTCTGTTGCGTGAGCTTCCTATTCCTCCTTATCCAAGCAGTGCATCTGGTTTGTCCCGAACCCATCATACACCAACGGAACAGAACACCTGACAACGATGCAAAGAAGGTCGGACGCTTTCACTTATGAACGCGTCAACCTCACATCTTCCCTGAAGGTTCCAACTTGCGGCAACTTCTGCTTTTGTCCGCGGCCTGGCGTGCTGACTGCAACTGTCTGAGGCTTTGGTGGAGGAGCGATAGTGTTCCTGAGTCCGAAAGAACTTCGTGCTTGCATAGAAAAGAACATAAGCACATGACTTGCCGACTCGCCCAACCATGCACAAAAATCTAAGCACTCTGCCAATACCCGGGAAAGTTCGAAGCCATCATGGGCAAGCTCCACTTCGGTGCAAACGGGTCACTGCAGGCAGTCCGCAGCAAGCTGTAACGCTTCGCTCCAAATGGTTTCAGCACTCCGGGGGCCTCTGCTTTCGCGTTAAGCGGCGCGCAGGCCGTTGAGATTCGGTGAAAGCATGCAGTCGCCTCAGGCGGGTTTAGGGGTTTTGGGGTTTGGGGCTTTAGGGGTTTAGGGGTTCAGGGCGGCAGAGTCTGAGGGGTCTCCCATTTGTCGCTATTGAGGATACAAAAATCCGCGACCCCGGCAGCTTCCAGCTGTCAAGGGTGGGCAGAACACTGTCGCGTGGGCGAAGTGGAACTGGGATGCGCTGGCTGACTAGGTAAGCTCTTCGAAAATTGGGCCTTTAGTTGGGGAGGATTCTGCGGCTTCGGGGCTGACTGTCGTGAACACATGCCCGGCGCTGGCTGGGTTGGCTCAGCCGGAGTGAGGGGCCGAGTGCAGCAGAGACCAAACCACGCCGGAACGGGCACTCAAAAACACTGCTGCGACTCACAGGCATGGTTTCGACGGAAGCAGTGTTAGCCAGCGCATCTGGCTTGGCAGCTTCATGGCGGGGCCCCAACGTTGGCCAGCATCATGAGCATCATTTGGAGGTTTGTCGCTTTGCCGGCGAGACTTCGGGGCTGGAGTGTGTGAGAAGCACAGCGGCGAAGTGCAGATCCGATGATGCTCCTGAGAGCCAGAGCCCGCGATGATGCGCATGATGCTTGTCCGGGCTGGTAAATAAGCAGCATGATCAATGCAGGAGACATTTATGGTGCACTAGAATCGCTTGAAGTGTAATCCAAACTTCATCTCCACCTTTGCGGCTTAACCTGTACCCCTGCCTAAGTGTAGACCGGCTCCTCAAGCAAAGCTGCAGACAACACAGCATGTAGTGACACGACAGATCTCATACATCTCTAGCCCAGGCGCTCCATGAAGGGGTCCAAAGGCTTCGGACTTCTGAAATGCTTCAAAGTCGATCGACCCTGGCACGCTGGATGAGAACAGGCAGTGCCACACTGCACACATCTGAACATTAGCAGCACACTTGCCGGGAAAACATTGTCTCTCTCTGTTGAAGAGTCAATCTCGCCCGAGCTCCTCCCAAAAATGCTCTTCACAAATCTACGCGCCAATGGAGACGAAGTTTCACGAAGAACAGACAGCGTTGTATTGGGAATCCAGGCATGCCCCTTGCTGGCACCGAAAGGACACTCCAAAGCCCAACAGACTGAGGCCAGGCCGACTGGGCAAGAAAGAAACCTCGGAAATCCTCAGCAACTCCAAGTACTGATGCAGAAGCTCGAAATGGAAACACAAACCCGAGGCTCACTGTCAAGACCGATCACTGTGCGAAGCTCTTTAGTTCGAAGGTCTGGTCCTGCTTCTCGTCATACTGTTGTACACGGTCCGCTGCCGGTACACAGTCGGCACATCAGGTTGCCTACGAGCCAGGGTATTGCGAGCTGACAGCACCAGATTCAAACACAAGTCGCTGGAATGTGCACGCATTCGCTGATGAAGCTCGGGCCACTGCTGCGTGCTTGGCAATTCAAGACCTGGAACCATTCAAAGGTAAAAGCTCCAGATTTGAGGGACGCATCAGCTCGTCACCTAGACGTACAGTACACGAGGCTGAGCTTGACGAACTTCCAGGCACAATGGCCAAAACGCGACGTGAAAACTTTACTAGCGTCTGCCGCTGTGTGGTCATCCGACCGTGCGTCGAAGCTGCATCGACTGCTGGGCATGAAAATTGTATTCTTAGGGTTGCATCGCAGATGATGGAATTGGTTTTGGGCTTTCCCGACCAGAATACCAAAATCACATCAGTCGGAACTGGTGGGCTCCAGAATAAGCCCGCATGATCTGTGCAAAGATTGGACAACTAGGCGGCCCTAGTTACACACACACACAGTCCACGGGCAGTGATGAATCAATCATTGCAAGCATTTGCTGGTCTCTATCTAACAACTCATCGCGTGTCTGAAGCTTTTTCGGGAGGACCCATTTCCGATATGCTCCGTTGCTGAATGTTGCAATGTTGGTGCTTGCTCTGCTCTACCCCACACCATGCTTGAAGCTCTACTGCTCGCCGTCGACATAAACGATCATAAACCCTAGTCTGCGCACGCACACACACCCACCATGCTACAAATACTTAAACTTCGAAGCTTAAAAACCGTACAGTAGACGCTTACCCCCGTCCCCGCCCACATCGTGCAGAGACATGGCTCTCGCAGAAAGGGTTCAGGAGACCCAGGGCTCTGGATGTCTTGATTTGTTGGTTGCTTTGGTTGTTTTTACGTTTTACGTTTTGATCCTGTTGAAAAAACAAAAACAATCAATCATTATCAGTTTTATTGTTTTGGATTTTTTGCCCTTTGAACAAAATCAAGAACAGCATTTATGCTCTCCATGTGTTTGATCGTTTTGGCCCTGTTGAGAAAATCCAAAAAAAACAAAAACAAACACACAACAACAGGTCTCTGGCTTCCTCTCGCATGGCTCTCGCAGGGAGGGTTCAGGAAGGCAGTCGGGATCTCTCAGGGAGCCAGGCCAGGAGCCGCGGCGTAGAGACCCAGGATGCAAAATGTATTGATGTGCTTGATTTGATTTTTTAAATGTTGTTGACCCTTTTGAGAAAAAAAACACAAAACAAAAAACACATGCAAATCAAAAAATGCTTCTGATTTGTTGAGCCTGCTGAAGTGTTAAACCTTCCTGCGAGAGCTAAACCCTAAACTCTAAACCAAACCCAAAGCCGCAAGCACGCGCCAGCCAGAAAATCTGCACAATTTGATGTGAAACTTGGGAGCTGCAAAAAAGCCATCAATCCGGTTGGAAACGAGAAAAATATAATCAACCAGCTCTCGAGCTTGCCGGTGACCGAAAAAAACCCTGGCAGCAAGCAAGAATTCACCCTCAGAGTTGTCGGTAGCAATCAGAAACCCGACGGGGGATTCGAAGGATGGTTCCGGCAGCCGAAAAGTAAAGCAACCTCCCAAACTCAAGCGAAGGAGTCTGCGATCGGTCCACATGCCAGCGCCTGTGCACCGGCATACGAGCAGTTGACGTATCGGATCCATGCACTGAGTTCGAGCATTTCTACATCTACCTGCGTATGTATATGTATGGATGTGGCTGTATCTTTGTATGCATCTGCATCTGTATCTGCTACTGTTTGCGGATCTGCATTTGTATCCATGTGTGTGCATGAACGTAGTTCTCTGTAGTAATGTATATATTTGTATATGTATATGTAAATGTAAGTTCAAAAATTAAATACTTAAAGAAAGAAACACAGGAATATGTAGTGTATGGTAACCCCATGTGCAGACTTGTCTCTGTCGAAAAGAAATACAAGTAGGAAGTTGCTCATGCCTTGTCACAAAGGAGCAACTGCAGACATCCAAACTTCGCAAAATTTTATTAAACCTCCCATCTTCAGAATACAACAAGGCTTGCGTGTTTGGGCCCAGTCCCACCCAGCTCAAAGCTCAACGAGCAGCCTGGAGTTTGAACATGATTCCTTTTCAGTTTGTCGCGTCCTGTACAGGCATGAAGAATTCGCAGCGACCCCTTCCGCTGACCCTAAACCGACGGTCAAAATGAGCCATGACGATGTGGGGCTGCGGGAACATGGTGGGGTCGGTGGGGCCGACGTGAAACACCTGGGGCATCCATATCCAGGGCTTCCAACGGGAACAATTCTTATTTCGTGCTTCACGAGCGACACCCACCAAACCAAGACGTGCACATGACAAAAATACTCAAGCTTCAGCTGGGGCGAAAGCTGTTTGGCTGAAACGTCGAGCTGCTGACTGCAGCCTGGTGCAAGACATGTCACTGCCGTGACACGAGAGTCATCATGCAGAATACCATGGCCCTCTTCAATGATGTACTGCTTCGAGAAGTAGGCGGGCAGAAAAGAGACTCGAAGAACGTCTTTGGAGAGTACATGCAGCTGAGGTCCCAGCCCAGCCACCAGCCACCAGCGGATTACCCATGCCCACCTGAGGCCGGGAGGACGCAATGAACAGTGGACCAGTTGAGAGTGGAGGTTCCTCAGTGCCATGCCGATCTGTGGGGAGATTTCCCACTGCCAGTACTGCGCAGCCAAGGCTAACACAACGCCCCAGACTTCCCCAGAACTGCGCTACGTTGAACGCCGCCTCTTCAAGGCCCAGCCTTCAAAGCGTCAAAGCTTGACAAAAGAGCTTCTGATCATGGGGCCTGAAGCTTCCACTTCCACGTTGCCTTCGTGAGCTTCAAGCAACTCTATTGCTGAGTCCAGGAAGGAATCCACAATGGAGTTTATGGCGCAATCGACCTGACGGGGCAGAAGCAGCTGGCATAAAGTCGCCCGAAGTCGACTCCCTCGACCCTCGGTGGAGTCAGGCTATGCGCAAGACGACAAGCTCGGCAAGAATCTCGTCATCGTGAAGTACCCGACACCTTGCTGAAGATGGCAGTGTCCATGTACAAAGCCATGCGAGTCCGATAGCGAGTTGGTCGTTCTGATCCTGTTTAGCCTGTGCGAACTTGTGAAAGAACCGCTGAGCAGGCCTGCGAGCCCTTTCTTTGCATGTCCAGGCTGCAAGATCCGTCAACAGTGTACTTGCGATGTGCAGCAGATACTATGTTGCAAGTAGTAAGTCCAAAACCATTTTTCCGGCCAAAATGCCTTGGCGACTGTAAAGCTTCTAGCAGTCACTGCTGCGATCAGAACAGAATGCCGGGGCTCAAGCTTCACATGCATCCCTGGTGGCTTTGCGACCATGTCCTGTATCGAACTGTGCCGCACATATAATACCAACATGACGCGGAAGACGTCACCGCACGGCCTGAAGCATTCAGCCCCGGCAGCTGTGTGGGGAAGTTCCGGGCTCGCAGAGCCTCTTTCACCTAGCATCTCAGTGGCCTACGGTGTCTCTTGTTTACCGACCGTCAGTTAAATACGCTCTCTCTCTCTGCCCTTCTGCCTTAAGGCTGTGCAAAGGCGCTTATTTTCTTTGCACCTAGCAGTCTTAGACTTAAGCTGTCACTATCTCCACGATGGTCTCGATCCGGAATGGGCTGGGGAAGTGCCTCTCGCGACATGAAATTGCTCGCTCCAGGAGCCTGAAGATTGGAGGCTTGTGCACAGATCCACTGCTCGCGAATGCGCTTTCCTTGCCCGGTGTCCTGCGCAAACTCGCAATTCGACAGCTCACGTGTCCTCTGGCTTCTACACCTTTCCCCCCCATAGGCTTTCAGAGCAGATCCACTGTGACTCGGATCCTGGTTGATGCCTGCAACAACGTTCTCCAGAAGGCGGTCTTGGGCCGCTTCCACCAACTCGGCTTCTTGGAGGGTCTGGTAGGTCTGGTGTGGGTTTTTTTGAGGTTTTTCGAGGACCCTTTTTTCCTTGGAAGCGGGCATGCTCCTTCCCCGAACCTGCAAGAGGACTGCGGACTGCAGGTGCCCAAAAACCCACAGCTCCGACTCTGGCCTTCCAAAGAAAAGCCTCGGATTTCGCAGCAGGGAAACAGGGTGAAGATTTTAGGAACCCTGTGAGGCACCGGAAGGCCCAAGGGCCCAAGGCACGCTGAAGGCCCTGACCTTTGCCCGGCTCCCAGGCACGGCCTCCCTTTGCAGAGACCCTGGTTGCCTCAGCCCGGGGACACGCGTTCGAAAGGGAAAAATGGCGAGGTGGGAGAGGAGTGGAATGCGAAGCAATGCCTACCGAGATGGACCGTGGCACTTCGACAACTGACCGAGGTGGATGAAATTCCGAGAGGAGTCGAGCACTAAATCTTTCTAGCGATCCCGGGAACATCCTAGTCCTGATCAACCTCTGTAGCATGAAGTGACTTGTCCAACCCAGCTCAGCCAAACAGTGGTATAATATAGTAGCCTAAAATGTTATATATAAACATACATACATACCTACATACATATATCGTTCATAGTATTGTTCGCCCAAGCGGTTAGGCTAGACTCTGCCGGAGTCGGTGAAGGACGTGTTCAGATGCGTAGGCTTTGGCTGAGGACTCGGCACTGGAGTCCATGACAGTCTTGCCAACGAGGTCACGAAGCTCCTCACTGCTTCAGCACAAGTGAGCCAGACTTTTCAGGCACTTTCAGGAAAATGCAAGCATCTGAACATGCAGACACAGGCAGCCACCAGAACATACCCTTTCCCCATGCCGGAAATCCTCAAGCCGAACCCTAAACCCCAGCCATCCCTTACGCAGTCCTCTTGGAGGAATCCGACCAGGTTCTGCTCAAGTCATCTTAGGCCTGAGGGAGTAGCTGACATTGGACTCGTTATGACTAATTCAGGCTTTAAAGTCTAGAGGGTTTCCAGTTCAAGCTTTGGCGTCTCGGCTTGAGCCTGCGCCGTCAACAGAGCTTGAAAAAGTCACGCTAGCCCGGAATGACAGCTCGTGTTCAAACAACAAATTGGCGCTTGTGGTTGCGGGTGCTATCACCACAGACATGAAAGCCAGTGACCCAAGGCAAAACGAACCTGTCTGGTTTGCAGCCCAAGTAGAACATGCTGGGTTTCTAGCAGCATGTCAGCAACCGCACTCTCCCTTGCTGCTCTGACTTGAGCCAACGTTGTCCAAGCGGAAGACATTATTTCTCACCTGGGACACTCTGAGGCAGGATTGGTTCAAGCTAAAAAGCAGCCTTAGGGGCCGCACGCATCCCGTTTCTACGACGGCAACTCACTTCGGTCGCAAGCCAGGATAAAGCATCAGGTTGCCAAGATTGCCCAGGAGATGTACACCCAAATGCCATGGAGTGCTAATGTGAAACTCTTTGCGCGAAGCATGGTGCCTTGCCCGCATGTACATTGCGACAAATGCAAAAGTCAGAAGCGCATAGCCTGAGGTTGAAGCATTCAGCAAGGCCAAAAACGGAGTGCCCGAAAAAAACGGCCGGGCCTGTAGGGCCAAGGGCTGGCACTGATGGCCCAACTCCTTGGATAGAGACATCTCATGCAGAAGTTGCGCTTGTATTCTCGGGTGCAGCCAAGTCTCCCATCAATGGTCGTAGGGGAGTGCACCAGAAAGCTGCCAGCGAGGCGTTGATGCCGCCGCCGACTACTCCCAAAGCCACACACATGTGGTATCTGAGTCTTTGACAGAAACTCTTGCATGACAGTACATCCACCGTCTGTGCCCATCATCGACAAGTCCGGCTGATTGCAAGCTGGGGTGCATCACTGTGATTGAGACAGCCGCCATGTCCGCATACCGACGCAACCCAAAAGTAGGGTGACGCCAATAGTTCAGGCCAGCTAAGAAAACCAGGAAGCCAAGGCAACAGCAACCCCAACGCCTGCAACGAAGAAACGCTCAATGATTCCGACACCATATGTGCGTTGTAAACAAGGAAACAGTAAAGCTGTGCCTGTGAACGGCCGCCCCAACCGTCATCATGGAAAATTGCCCGCAAGAGTAGAATAGCCATCCTAATGGATCCATGCACACAAGGAGCACATGCTCAGCTGGTTTAACACATGAGGTCTGTTGGAATAACGGCTTCCAATTGCCGGCCAGCTTCTGGAATACGGCTTTGGTACGACCAGCTGCTTCTGTGTCACGCGGAAAGGTACACGTCTTTGTAAACGATGATAAGGGCCAATCCTCAATCGAACAAGCCATAACAACACAAACACGCCGGGGGGCTGCAACTCCACCACAACATCGCATGCTTCTGCCAAAAAACGCTTCCTTCAATCTTCCGAGCTGCAATCGGGATTGACACTCTGAGACTGCCAAACTGCACCTTGCAGACTCCATGCAAGTAAGCACAGCAGATGACTTCCGGCAGCGCTCCAAGCCAACAGCATCGGCTTGCGTGTTTCTGCGGTGGCTTTGGCACAACGATATTCTGAAGACGTCTTCTACGGATCTGTGCAAGAAAACAAGTGACCACCGAAATGGATGCAGATAAACCAAGCGTCAATGTATCAAATACTACCATGGTGTGCACATGTGTGCACACTCCATGCATCAGTATGATAGTCTGTTCTCCGACAGTTCGACTTGGGCTCGAAGCTTTATGCCTGCAACAACCAACCCAACTTGCACAGCTGTCAAGTGATCACGACCGTGTTTCCGTGAAGTCCTGTTTGGAAAATGGAAACAGTCAAAACTGGTTCAATATGCAGTACCTGGCACCATCAGATGCACGTGTTTGAACCAATGTCGTTGAGGATACGTGGGGCAAATTTGCTGATAGTGATGTTACTGACACTCATCTTAGAGAAACAATTTTCCGACTTAGACTTTCGCAAAAGGGACCTCGCAATTCGTCCACACAGTCTTTCTTTCTGCATGCATCTTCTTGAATCTGACCGTGGCAAATTGCATAACATTCGTTGCCCGTCACGTCTCTTTTCTGGCACGGAAGGTTGCTTGAGTATTTAGACATGGTGCAATGACATGTTGCTCAAAAAGGACGTTGATGGACAAGGACCAGGCATGCATGTTCTCAAATCGCAAAAACAAACAGGAAAATGGTTTCTGAAGCAGTACGGATGTCGCTTTGCCAACATCAACCTTGTTCAAAGATACCAAACAACGAACAAATTTCGTGAAATCCGTCTTCTCCATCCATACGTTGCTGTAGACCATTAAGTCCATTTTTCCAGGGGTGATTTTGGGCACACTAGACGCGGCGTCCAAAATAATCCAACTCCACAATTATGCTTACGCGAATTACTCATGTGTGATGACGCGCGATACACTATAAAGGGCTTAGTCTCGGGGCTATGGTGGTTTTCCGATGCCACACAACCTGTGCCATCATGTTCTACCCCTTACACGGTCGGTCGAATGCAACATGTACAGGCTCTTTATGCCGGAAAAACTTCTGGCTCAGCACGTCCAACTCCTAAGAGTGCCTAATAAGAGCCTTTGCGAATTTGCTTAATGCACCACTCAGCAGGACTTTCAATCATGGGGTCGCGGCTCCAGTTATTGCACCGCCAAGCAGC